CTACAGTGTTACTTCAAGGCACTCAATATTTGATTGAACAAAAATAATGAGAGGACTGTTAAATTTTTGTGTTATATTGACTCATCATAATTGAGTTGTAATATAATATCTCTATACCCCGAAGTCTTTCATATTTGCTTTAAACATGAATAGAATAAAGCCTCAGGCTCTGAATAAAATGAAAATTCATTGTTCGTTATGTTCATTTTGGGCGAAAAAAATTCAGCGTTTCACGTTGCATGCAGGAAGCTGCACATTGCACGGCTCATCCAACGTGGCAGTGCTTTGTGAAAAGATATCATATGCAACGGTACACTGCAGAATGAAGTTAAATTAACACAAGTTTATCATGCAGAAGCTTTAATTCATCCAAAGCTCCATATATCTCGCTCATTCTTAGCCTCTCCTTGATGCAAATGGCAAAAAGGAGCGGTGTACTCAATTGCGTACGTACCCTTTCAAAGGTTAAGTATCCTTAATGCTAACGACATCAAATGCAAAGTATCAAGCACGCATTTTTTAAACTAAGAGCACTAGTCTCCCCTGAAGCCCCGGTCACAATCCATCCACGCATGCAAGAGGATAGACACGCGCGTCGCGTTTACTTCTGACCGAAGCCGTCTGTATAGGCACAGGCTTTTGCCATTCATTCATTCATAAAACTTTGGAATTAACGAAGCGTCCATCAATATTTAGTGAATCTACTGCATTTTTAAATGCGAAGCATTTCTTGGCGAACTTCGGTGACTTTAAGCGTATCTATCTATCTATCTATCTATCTATCTATCTATCTATCTATCTATCTATCTATCTATCTATCTATCTATCTATCTATCTATCTATCTATCTATCTATCTATCTAGCCGCCTACGACATTTAGCTCTCCTGGCCATTTCGATAATGGTACCGATACCAAACTTGGTATGTCATAGCATGACTGTATGACGAACATAACTGACTAGTCATAACATAAAAATAATGATATGTATGTCATGGGTGTCATGATTTACATGTTACGGTCTTGCTGCTCTTGCGGCGATTTCGTTCATATGACATGTTGCAAAACTGGTATGGTATGACATGACTGCATGGGGAACACAAGTGACGGAGCCTAACAAGGAAATCATCACATGCGTGTCACGTAAAATCACGACTACACGCCACAAGCCACACTTATGATGCGCTTGCGGCTGTTTCGCTAGCTTCACTTAAACCAAATTCGGTATTACGGAACGTGAATGGATGACGAAGGTATGATACTGGTGCAAAGATGATAAACATGAGATGCGTGGCATGTAACACCATGACTATATACGCCACAATGATAATGCACTCGTGGCCGTTTCACTAGCTTCACATATGCCAAATTTGGTACTTCGTCATGCCAATGAATCACCAAGGTGCATAATAATCATGAGATGCGTGTCATGTGAGAACGTGACTACATGCCATACAGTCGAGGCACCAATACATTTTGACGTGACGCGGTGCGTCTGCTCGCCGGCGTTCATTTCGTCGCGTCATGCCGGCGTTGCCACGCCAGGCAATGGTCCTGCCATATACTTGCCGGTGCGCGCCCCGCTGCGTTGCTTTGACGCATGCGCGTTTCAGCGCATCCGGCGTCCCTCCGTCACGAAAACATGAAGAGGCAGTGTTGTCTGAGTAACGTATCGGCGTGAAATGCCGAAATGCAGCATGTCGCATTTCACGCCGGTTGCCATCTGGCCGTGACGATGGACGCTGGTCGCGCCTGGCGTCAGACTATACAGTGCTCGCGTTTTGCTAACGCGGCGTCACTGTGCCCAGCGCGCGCACACGTCAACGCTACATTGGAGTATATTGGGTCCTTCATGATGCGCTCGGAGCCGTTTTGCTAGCTCCACGTGTACCGAATTCGGTGTAACGTGACGTCAATGGATGACGAAATATAAAACTGGTGCAGTCAAGATAATCCTGACACGCGTGCCGTTTAAAAACGTGACAACATACCACGCTCATAGCGTGCTCGTGGCCATTTTGCTGGCTGCACATATAACAAAATTGGTATTACGTGAGGTGAATAGATAATGAAGGTAAACGACACATCCAAACATAATAATCAAGGCACGAAAGTCAGGTATGGCATCATTTACCTGCACCTCGTAACGTTGTGCAGAATTCAAAGTGGCATATCAACATTTCACATTCGTGCATCGCATATCATCGATTCCAATTGTACGTGAGATCTGCCATTGTTTTTTTGTAATAGCGAATGAATTTCTTTGTCGAATGTCCAACGGCGTGCGCGTACCAGCAGGTGTTATCTCTCCGCTCTCAATTTCTCTCCCATAGCAACAGTTGCGAGTGCGCCCTCTTATACCCGCAACCAGGTTTCACACAACGCCAATTGCATATAGAGTGGTTCGTTTCTTGTTTTCAACTCATCACTAATGGCTCAGTCATAATTTTGTATTGTGAATGGCCACGGCATCAATAAGGTGCAAATATATTTACCGACATGTAGCGGGTACCTCATTATTCGTAGAATAACGAATGATTATCTATAGAATGCTTCCCTACTTCATAACTCTATTTATTTATTTATTTATTTATTTATTTATTTATTTATTTATTTGCAATACTTCCAGTCTCTACTGACACTTTAGCAGGAGGACACACTGTACAGGTGATATGATTGCTCATCATAGTAACAAACCAGCAATACACACAAATTTAGGGTAACATCAGCTTGAAACTTCGTGCAAGAGCAATATATACAAAACGTAGTATATTAAGAAAATATGAAGATTTCTGGTGTAGCGGCTGTCCCACAAATGTCTTGTAGTAATCGACCTAAGAAAGTTAAAAAATGATCTAGAAGTGCCACTTTGTGAGCTTTAGCTGGGACTGTTCATTTTTTACTACCCCTTCCGCCACACATGAATCGAAGTGCCTTCGTCTGTGTTTGCGGTGGCTCCACGTAGACGATAAGAAGTGAACGGCTTTCAAAACGGCACAGCCTCTAAGATTACGACCACCCGAAATTACCATGAGTTAAACATGCCTACCTTTGCACATCGTACGATGGCGTTTAAATATAGTTTTTTTGTTCATTCTATTGAATTGTGGAATTCTTTGCCTGGTTACGTTCGATCTTTATCACGGGATGAATATTTATTGTATATTACTAACCATTGATGTACAGCGCACTTGTTATGCTATTCTATGTATGTATTTGCCTACTCCTGCGATAGCCCTGTGGGGCTGCTGCATGTTGAAATAAATAAATAAATGTGAAATGGTCACGTCACGCAGTTTTGATGAGACACAGAGGCTGCATGTAGAAAACGCTCGCAGATTAGAAGAGCACCATGCATTGCACTTGTGGTTGAAAATAAGCAGTCCTTTCCGTGGTAGCGGAAGTAGTAAGAAGGTATTGTTCAAAAAAATGAGCAACAATAGAAGTAGGCTACGCTAAGTTTGGCGTTGAAAAGTGAGAATGACCGAACCCTAATTTAGTCTTAGATGTGTAAAAAAAAATGAAGACGTCAACTTTTTCTTTCTTTGCTACACGCGCTTTTTTCTGTGTGTAGCTCGACTTGTAAAGATTTTCTTGCACGTCTGCGCCCGCTCCAAAGGGTGGAAGGATCACTTTTAGTCAGAAAATAATGTGCGAAAAATTACAATTGAGGCATTTACAATGTTGAAAGAATAGTGGGCTTATGATTGGGGTTCTGATAATCATTGGAAATATATTGTTTTGACTTCCAAATTAACAATAATATTCGTGCCTGTCGACTTATAATCTATATTGTAGAGAATGGTTATGATTGAGTGGAAGCAATGACTAGAATTGAAACTGTAGTATCTATTTTCCAGTGAGCACTATGACAGAACTATGAGAGGCCGATGGCTTATGCGAGATCCCAACACACAAAACGTAGAGATATCTACGGGTCTTCTTTCTAATTATAGGCAGTAAAGCTTTTTTTCTTCATTTTGATAAAATATTAGCAATCATTGCTCTAACACATTCGGAAGACATTTTTATCAAGCAGGAAGCTTCCATGCTATCAAACTTTCTTGATTTTTTGTCCAAACCACCAACACAACTTGCATAAAAATGTGTAGCTTTGTTAAAGTGAAGCATTTTTTCGGAGCTTTGAATTGTACTGTGACGGTAGCTGAAAACTCAGCGCAGTGTTGACCATGTGTACTCGTATTTTGTTGCTTTTATTCCGTCGATTCGCCAACGTAGTCCAGCAAAAAAAGAGCTTTATTTTGAATCAGCAACTGCGAAAATAACCTTTCGCCATTCAGCAATGGTCTAATATTATTTCAGATGGTAATGTATTATCCCCTGCATATGGTGTTCGGTAGGTTGGGTAGTTATTTTTGTACTTCACTGGTGCTTTCTTTACCCGCGGAGGTTTTCGAGAGACCATGATATTTGAGCTGATACTCAGCGCACTCCAGAAAACTGTGCCGTCTATACATAGGGTGGAAAACCAAGATCTTCCTCTCATCGGGTCGTAGTTATGCTTGAGAATATGACGATGACTGCTATTAAAAATAGATATTATACTCATAAATGACAAGGAAATTTGAATCCAGACTAAACATAAATTCGGGGGAAAATCTATACTTCAAATGACGAGAAATTGTCAACCAATAAATGTATAACCGATGTTTCAACAAGCGGAATGGCCGTCGTCAAGCTGCTCTGGTCAAAACGACATTCCTTGAAGTTGAAAAAATGAGTAGACTGCGAACTTTTTTGATGTTTTGTTATTTGCACCCCATCGGCACATCATGTATATTCTCCGTGTACAATAATGAAAAATGGCTTCCAGTTATGTTTATTGAGCCATGAATCTGTCTTAAACAGTTCGAACCAAAATGTTCATGCGCAGATGATAGTAAATTCACAAGATGCATATGGACTATTTCGCCACATATTAATCGACGTGACACTTTTCTAATTACTCACACTCTGGTTTTTGTTCTTTCCCATCTTGTAGGATCCGTGCTGTACTGGAAGTCGGAGACGGGTGACTGGAGCGAACTGGGAGTGGACGGAGTGGCTACGTCACACACGTTTCAAGACCTCAACTGCGGCACGCGCTATCATTTCTACGCGGTAGCCTTCAACGACGTGGGACGCAGTGAACCAAGCTCCAGCGTCAGTGCTACAACATCTGGGGGAGGTGAGTAGTCGTCTTTAGAAACAAACAATGATTGCACCTTTATTGATTAAAATTATATATGAATTGTAATCCTGTATACGTGTTGTCCCAAAATAACACGTCACATAACACTCATTCAAAGTGGGGGAAAACCATTGTACAGTTTAAATATTTTTGAGACAACCAGAAAACAACGCTTCAGTCAATGAGGCCAAAGATTAGTTTGTTAACCAAAGCTAGAGATGAGAATTTGGTGTCTGAAAAAAAAAACAGAGTATTCACTTCACTCATACAGAATTCACTATCTCAGTTTTTCAGTTATCGCTATGGTAGTTTACCATTAGCCCTAAAGAAGAAGGTGTACGACAGCTGCATCTTAAGGTACTTATCTATGAAGCAGAAATCTGGGGGCTCACAAAATAGGTTCAATATAAATTGAAGGTGACACAGCCAGTGATTTAAAAGAAAAAGATTGGTGTAATCTTAAAAGACATCAAGAGACCAGAGTGGATGAGTGTACAAACGGGCAATAGGGACATCACAACTGAAATCAGAGCATCCACGAAGTCTATGAAAACTTACTGAAAGGAATCTACAGTGGATCTGCAGCCACCATAATCCTTAATGATAAAAGGTGATAGAGTCCCATTAAAAAGAGAGTAAGCCAAACACAATCTCTCCAATGCTACTCACCGCATGTTTACAGGACATTTCATTCACCCTAAATTCAGCAAATCTAGGATAAGGAATTACTTGAGAGTATCTTAGTACTTTGAGATTAGATGACATTGCTTTTATGAATAACTCAGAGGGCGAATCATAGTTCATGATTACTGAACTGAAGCCAGAAAACTGAAGAGTAGGTTTGATTGAACAGTAGAGAACGGCGCTTTGCGATATGTGGGGACACAATGAAAATTTTAAAGAATACTGTCTTCTTAGGACAGATAGTAACCGCGGATCCAAACCATGAGCGAGAGATAACTAGAAGAATAGAGATGGAAATGAGCACATTCGGTAGCCATTATCAATTCATGAGTGGTAGTCTACCACTATCCCTCAAGGGGAAGGTATTTAACAGATGCGTCTTGCCGGTACTTATCTACGGAGCAGTAACGTGGAAGCTAAGAAAAAGAGTTTAACTTAAATTGAGGACGATGCAGTGAGCAATGGAAAGGAAACTGATAGGTGAAACCTAAAGAGACGCGGAGAGTCAGTCAGGAAACACTGGGGTGTTTAGCATGTCATATTTCAAGTCAAAAAGAAATAGACATGGGCTGGCACGTGGAACGTAGTCAGCAGAGCCACTTGGTGATCGTTATTTATATCTGATTTAATTCTGAGAGAAGGCAAATGTGCGAGTTGGAGAAACTTGTGCGGGCAGATGAGATTAGGAAGCTTGCGGTACAGCGTGCCGGCAGCAAGCGCAGGACAAGGCTGATTGGTGGAACATGGGAGAGGATTTTGCTTGTCACGGGCGTAGCCAGGTGGACGATGATGATGATAATGATGATGATGAAGAGGATGCACTCATGCAGACATGTTCAAAACCTGAAAGCAGTTGGTCTTTCGGGCCGGTCTTTCAGAAAAACTATGCTACTGCAAATATTTCCACAGCGCATAATCTGCTTTCAATATTTCTTCACATATTCCGCGTAAAATTACTAACATTGTTAAATATTGCCACGCGTGTTTCTCATTTCACTTCTGTATTTCGTTGCCACCTACAAAGACTGTAGGAAATGCTCAGCGCACACCGCGCCTGCAGTGATCGAGAAGCTTAAATTTTGTAGTAGATCATTTCATGATTGCGCGCAAGACACGAGCATTATACAGATTCTTCTGTTACTCTCGTAGCCGTTAGCAATAACGCTGGAATATTCAACGGCACATGCATAAATGCCAACGCTCATCACCGCTTGTCACTCGATTGACGATATATGGCCGATGCTCTGACGATATATGGCCGATATATGGCCGATGACCGCCATCGGGGTCAGTGTGTATATATCACTCGTAAAGTTTTCGTGCAGACAATACGACTGCATCGGTTGATTGAGCCATTCCTCTCTGGCCTCGTCTTATTTCTCTCCTGATCTCTTCTTGCTGCGCTAACGATGTGGATTGCCACACTCTCCCGGCCGGCTGTCATTCCCCCCACGCTGGTAATATGGCACCACATTTCCGATAGACGCTTCCTCTGTTCTTCCACTTGGCCCAGAGAATACAACGTCTTAAGAAGTCCTTGTTGCTTGGCCGTTTAAAGAACAAGGTATGGACTGGTGAATGCGGCTTTTGAGTCCAATCGTTTTCTAACTAGTATCATGTAACCAGGGTGTATCTCTGACATCATCGTGCTGTGGCGACGATCAAAATGCATTTTTATCGTACTTCTGTGTTTTTGCTGTTGGAGTTGGGTTTTGAGGCATTCCATCAGTGTGATCCTTCCAACTAAGCTCAGATCTTCGTTCACTGGCAATCAAGCAACACTACCAAACGCAGCGAATTGCGGGCTGCACCCGATGCCAGCGGTGTAGTTCCTGTTATGATGATGTATGGCTGCTTCGAAAGCACTCTTCCAGCCTCCCTTGAATTCTGGGTATCACTTTTTATACATTTTTAAGTCTCTAGTCATGCGTTCAGAAAGAGAATCAGCCTCTGGATGATAAGGCGCTGGGTATCGAAGCACGATGTTCCTTTCGCGGGCCCAGTTGCATAGCTTCTGACTACTCAACGCTGGCCCATTGTCGGCAACGATGACCGTGGTGTGTTAGAAAATTTCTCTCTACAACAGTGCTATCACACAATCCGCGTCTTTTCTTCCAGCTTTGCAGCCGCGAAGCGCGTGCACTCATTCACCACAACCAGGAAGGCTTGGGTTCTTTAGACGCCTTCACCTTTTTTTTAACTTCAGCGAAATCAAAGTGAACTACATCGAATGGTACAGTCGAATATTCTGGTAATACCATTCTATTTGCCCAGGCCTTGTATTTCGACTTGGAATTCGGCACTCATGACACATCTTCACATAATGGGCAACATCCGCTTTCATTTTTTCCTGAGTAAATCTCTGAGTAAGTTTGTGGTATGTCCTCCAAAATCCGTCATTCCCTCTTGAATAGGGACTGCTGTGATATAACTTCAGCCCTTGAGGCACTTTTGTTTCAGGGACATACATCTTTTCATTGCGCTGTTTTATGTCTTGCGTATCCTTCTATAGTTTCAGCAAGATGTTGCTTCCGTCCGGAATTTCTTGTGGCACGTGAAGACGGGACAAGGCATCAGCGTCCTGCTGCGTCTGGCCTGGTCTATGCAATACGTCAAAACTGCATTGCTGGATCTCACTGACACATCGAGCTATTCTTCCCTTTGGCTGTGCAAAATATCAATAAATAGGTCAACGCCTGGTTATCAGCAAACAGGTAAAAATGTCTACCTTCTAGGTAACTTCTGAAGTATCTAAAAGCCATTACGACCACTAAAGCTTCCTTCTCTGTTGTCGTGTAATTCTCCTGCGTCGTCGTGAACGTGCTGGAATAGTAGTCGGTGACTTTGAGCGCCTTTCCAGATTGCTGATATTTATAGCGCTGATACAAGATGGCGCCTGCAGAGTAGTGAAATGCATCTGTATATAATTCAAACGAAAGATCAAAGTCGAGGAGGGCTAGTACAGGGTAAGATGAAATGGCTCGGACAAGTTCCAGGTAGCTCTCTTGACATTCGTCGGACACGACGAATGGAACGCCTTTCTGAATTAATGCTGTCAAACCTTTCGTTTTTATATGATAGTCCTTTATAAGTGCACGAAAACTGCTGGTGAGTCCAAGAAAAACTCTTAAGGAGTGTATGTCATGAGGTTTTGTAAGCTTCTTAATGCGCTGGACGCTCTCCTCTTTAGCGCCTTTGGTTCGCCCATCAAAAACTCTTCCCAGAAATACTACTTTTCTGCAGAAGAACTCGCTCTTTTTTATGTTGATCTAAAGTCTAGCGGTGCTAAGTGCTTCGAAGACCTTTTATAGCTGCTCTTCGTAATCTTCTTACGTTTGCGTGTATATAATATTGTCGTACTCGTATACGTTACAGAATATTCTGGTGAAGTCCCTAAGTATGTCATTCGTCATCTTTTGGAACCATGATCCAGAGTTCTTACATCCTAAGGGTAGTATGTTTTATTCGTAGATGTCGAAAGGGGTGACAAATTCAGTCTATTTTTTGCATCTCCTTTTATCTTTTGCATAGGTCAATGCGGAAAAACACTGACATCCTCCGGTTTATTCAATGATCTCAACAATTTGTGGCATTGGGTATGAAAAAAGATCGGTTTGTTTATTAATGAGCTCATAATCTGTACACTGGCGACATGAACCATCTTCTTTCAGAATAATTGTAATAGGTGAAGGAAAAGATGAAGTTGAAGGCCTGATGATTCCCGCCTCTAACATTGATTGGAGCTCATTTTTTAACCAGACTTTCTTATAATGACTGAGATTGAATGGTTTTTTTTCTTTACAATGGTGTTGCCTAGGAATAGAAACAGTACCTTAATGGCTCTCGTGGCATCTGGGTATGCACCAACTCACAAATCTTCGGAAACATCAATGGTACATATTTCCTGGTAGCCGGCCTACGGTAAGCCTTGAGGGCGATATTTGCCTTAGCGCACTCCCTTCCGATGGTAACTTCGTCATACCAAATTGTGTTAATCTTCATGCGTGTCATATCAGGTTTTGATGTAAGAAAGTCGAAATTGACATCGGGCATTACATGCGCTTCAACTCTAATCTTCTCGTCTTCATACTCGAGACATACTTCCACCCATCTGGGATACTCTCGACAAGAACCATCATAGCTGCACACACGAATGGTTTTCCCAAGTACAATCACTCTAGCGTTTACTAGGTTCTCATTAGTTGAACCAATAGAGGCACCAGTGTCAAGCAAAACCAACAATTTGCGACTATTCACTAGCATGTTGACACCCAGAATTCCTGTCTTCTTCAGAAAGACTGTTTCTTCGACAG